AAGTCACCATTCTTAAATCTATCTAAAAACTTGCTTCTTGAAAAGACATTTAAAAGTAGAAATATCCTTGGCGTTTCTAACATACGTAGGTAACGAATTGCAAAGTTTTTTTTTAAAACTGAGAATGACTTATGGCATCATTCTAAATTTAAATTGGGTAACGTTAAAAGTGTCCCCGACCCCCTTAAATTATAAAAGAGATTTTAATCTCAAAAAATTATTCTATATACCTGAGGCTTCTTTATGACTACATTTATGTACCAAAACTAGGGCCTGGAATTTTCTTCTTTCTTGTAGTGTTCTTATTCCAGCCATATTTAATAAATAATTGTATGGTGCATCCTTTCCATACCCTAAAATAGATCTAAAATATAATTATTGGTGTCTTCTAGTTTTTTAACTTGACCCATTCCAACTCCAAGTAATAGCGCACAACAATACTCTAAATAAGGCAAAATATATGCTTTATAAAGGCGGCACATTACGTCTAAAGGAATAAACATGCGAATCCTTCGTAACGCAGAGGCTTTGGCACACCCTTTTTTACCTGTTCGGACACATCAGTGACAAAATTGAGCTTACGATCTAATTTAACACCAAGGATTTTAAGTGTATCATTAGCGTTCACTTCATTGTTATCTACACTGAAGTTGTAGCGATGTGGTACTGGACTTACAGTCTTGGCTTGTCTTAGATGTCTACTGTCATGCCTATTTTCATCTGATTTTCTTTGCTATGACACAACCATTGTAAACTTTTATTTCAGGATTTATATCAGCAAAGGGGAAATTTTTAAGGCCAGAGATAAAAATTTGCGATTTTCTCAATATTTACAACTTACTGTCAGCCCATTTTTTCCTAAATCGTCCTTCCATTTATAAGGTAAATGATTAAATCTAACCCTTTCATTCTCAAAATCTCATGAGCAACTCTTGTTACTGCATGTCTGTCACTCTGATACAATCTATATGGTGATAATTCAATTTGGTATTGGGTCAACTCCAACTGATATTTTCTTTCATTTCCATCACTTGTCTGCTTGGTAGGGTACTGATGATGTAAAGAGAAATTCTGTCTAACGTTTACTCCCACGTCGATGTCTCTTTAATGGTCTTTCGGGTTTCCGATTTAATTTGTTCTAGAGATCTAGAGATCGTGAAAACTCAATCCAAAGTTACTGTTGGCAAAACTATTTAGCGAGTCTCTGTAGTATTATTCGTTTTCTCCAATATATTTTTGATAACGCTTTTCTTAGTGTCGATATGTGTTGTACAATTTAATAGTCAAGCGATTTATTTGGTTACCATGCGGGAAAACACATGAATCTCAAATATATTGAAGCTAGCAACACCTTTTCAAAGAACATTTAAGTCCGTACGAATCTTATTTTTAGACCAAGATACGGAAGATATTTTCTTCGTGGTTTATTTCTACATACGAGGATGCGAAACCATCATATTGAATGTAAGTGGCGTTATTTTGAGTTCGTATCAAGTTCCGATCAGCGTAAATCTAAATTTAATTGATCCATCTTTTTTCCTTTTTGTTGCGCTGTTCCATTTATGACGCTTTTTTTATGCTACAAAAGCAATATTATTTCGTGGTTTGGACTGACTGAGGCTAAAAAATTAAAATTTAGTTAAAAATACACAGGTAATGACATTCCTCCGTCAAATTTTATTAAGTGGCCGGTTCTCAGTATCAATTCATTCAAAACAAAACAAAAGTGGACACAAAATTTTAAATCATAACGCGTTTTGAACTTTTTCCAAAAATATGCTGCCTGTTGTCGTCAAAGGGTTCACTCATCCGTGATCATAAAAAATATTGATCTCAGAGGGCACTGGGTGGCGTAAAGGGTCGTTTTCCATTTAAAAACTATACAAGGCTTCCGCAATTTTTCCCCTTGACTCAAATCTTGTTTGATGTGACATCCTCGCCATCCTCAAAGTTGTATTTAACTTTGTTTATCATGCTTCATTGTAAATTTGTATTGTAGTGTGGCAAATATAAATAACAAAAGAAAGTAAAAAAACAATAAAATTATTTGAATTTGCTGAATGGGTTGTCTTACTGCTTTAATAAACTTCCCTGCTTCGACTCTACCAACGTCAATGTTCTGCGGGCATTTTATAGCAAACAGCTTTCAGGAACTAGTCCCTTCACATAATATTAATCGATTATGAGTCCTATCTTATAGAGAAAAAGCAAACATGCATCCTTAAATCTTTTCTGTGGGGCGAAAATTCTTCATTTCAATGTTCTGAATAGAATCGGGTTTGGAAAAAATACAAAATACCAATGTAACCCATTGATACTAGAGCTTAGAGAGTCCGTTCGGTCTTTGAGTGCTATTTCTGTTGTTTATCCGCTTTGACACGAGGCAGCTTCCGTCCCACAGCGAACCGAATAAGGTTTGTAAACGCAAAGGATGTGGGAAAAGATAATTTTTTCCTGGAAGCCTCGAATGGGTCTTCAAAAGAGGGCAGAAACGTACGCACTTGTCACTTAACTGAATGACGTAAAAGAATTTGACTATTTATTTCGTGATTTCGCTATTGATACACCATAATGATCTTCGTCATATTGCGATCGAAACAGTGAGTGACTTTGCACATTTCACATGTAAGTCATCTCCGTGAGGTTATGATTTTTCTATCATCTGCTGGGCTGATGAGTTAAAAGATTAAACGATTATCACGTTGGATTGCACACAGTAAACATGAATGCTACTTCGGAGCCAGAGAGAAGCGAAAACGCTTCCAGATATAGGTAAGTACAGATTTGAATCTTCCTTTTTCAAAAAAGGATTGTCTTTAAATTTAGAGAGACGACGGAGAGAGATTCGTGTTTCTGATTTTGCGCAGCAAGCGTGCTGCATAAATCATGCAGAACACAGTTCACAAAATTTGCAAAACTCCTAAGGAAATTGTCACACTAATGGTGCATTGCTCTGTTTCTCTATGAACTTACTGGCAATTTTCAAAGCCGTTTAGAGAAGAGTATTGTTGCAAGGGAACGTTTACTTGAATTTAGAACACCATTCATCCAATCATGCAAGATAGCCTGATCTGGACTGTTTTGACTAGAATCGAAAGCACAGAGTTAATAAAATAAAAAACACGGAACCTGCAGAAAGAGAGTCATATTCGCCCTCTGTCCTCCGTGACATCAAAGCAAATTTTTACGTTTAATTTCACTTTCATTAAGTTGTTATGAAGTATTTAGTTAATTTAGTTAGTCATTATATTTATATTGTACAGTTACCGTATGAATTCAAATCCCGAAATTGTTTAGTTTTGAGTTGTGGCGATGAGTTTCCGAATTGTGACTGTCTTCCTTAAGTGGACATGCTTAGTTTGTCTACTGACCTTGCTTTGGAAATGAAAAAGATAGTTCAACAGTCTTGATGCCTTTCGCCGAGCGTGGGTTGCTCGTTAGCTAGATTCCCCTAACATTCAATATTATAAAATAATTCAAATAAACGCGCGCTCTGATTGGCCATAAAACCATTTTACATGAGCCTATGTAAACACGGTTTCCGTTCCTCTTTCATTAGTTATTTTATAAAGAAATGTGAAATGGTTTCCGTGTTTACATCAGGCTATGCATTTTGTGCATCGGAAAAGTTTTTATCTATAGAATGTACATTCTCTAAAATATTGATGTTTTTCAACCATTAGCATTTGACTTAGGTTCAAACTAGATAAGCCACTATTAAGTTTACGTCTCTTCAATTTCAATTAATCTAGTTTCTATAAGAATCGCAAACAAGAATTCTGGGTTCTGAGTGGGAGACAAGAGTTTGACATTCCACAAAAAATCTAAGAAGTTGGATAGTAAAAATTTTGATCTTCATTGTATTGATGATTATGAAAAGACTTGCCTAAGGTTTAGGTTTTATGAAAAGCAAGGAAAATACGATAACTAATCTGAGTTGTTCGCCGGTACACCCGGCAAAAAACATCTTCCTAGCAGCTTTTTTTGAGACTCTCCTAAATCGTTGATTACTTAAGCGTAGATGAGAAATATTTTGCAACCCTCAAAAATTAGTTTGTAGTCTGATGAATTTTCCAAAGATGACATTTCTGTATTAGGACAAAAAAGTCACAACTGTTGTCTCATAAAACCTACAATTTCAAATTCAATATTGCTATTTCTTCCCGACATCCGTTTCTTAACTCTAGGTCTTATCGGGTTCACAAGAAGCGCAAACAATGCCTTCCTGACTGTGGAACTATCAACACTACTTGGAGAATCAAAGTTTTCGTCGTCCTTGCAGCGTACCAAGAAGCCTTCGAGAGGATGGGGCACTTCCTTGCACGCAAACCATTGGCGGCTCTTCTGATTTCGCTCGTTATTATGGTTGGTTGCTGCCTGGGATTCATTCGCCTGAATTTCGAGCAGCCCAACATTGACCTTTTTACTGTCACCGACAGCCAATCTAGAAAAGACTCGCATGATTCTGCGCAATTTTTTCCAATTCTTGAAGCGCGCCAAGAACAAGTCATCATGATACCCAAGGACGGCGAAAGTATTCTGAGTGAAGAATGTTTGAGAGACGTCGTTATGGTCCACAGAGCTATTGAGAACATCAGTGGTTACGATGATATTTGTTTAAAGCAGCAATTACCAAATGTCGCCGAAGAAAGTAAGGAAAAAAATTGCATGATTAGCAGTCCTCTTGAGTTAGCTGGAACTAATTTTCAAAATCTGAAAAATCTCTCCTCTATTCTGGCTCGCGAGTCGGTAAAGCCTACTACTGTTCTTTCCTCTGGCCAAACATTTAAACATTCCTATCGTCAAATGCTGGCCAATTTCTACCTAGAGCGGAACAGAGATCGATTAACGGCTCATGCCGACGCTCTTCAGGCTATTTACTTCGTAAGAAAGACAACCAGTCCAGAAGAGTACCAAAAAATCGAGGATTTTGAAGTCACGTTTAGCAATCTCCTCACATCAGTCAGTCCTCGCTTGAAATGTGCAGAACTTTCCTACAAGACTGGGAGAGCAACAACCAAGGCCTTGCAAGACGTCCTCAAACCAGAGCTATGGCCTCTTTGTGTTACAGTTTTTGCGATAGCTGCCCTTGCATTCATTGTAATACACTTTTCTTCTGCCAATGCCGTTTGTTTAAGGACGGTCCTCCTCTTATTCTCATGCTTTGTGTTACCATTAACGTGTTCTGCAGGTTTTGTCTCGATGACGAACTTTGCCTTTACCTCAACTTCACTGTTCATACCATTCTTTTTGTTGGGGAAAGTAATTACAGACGTGGTACTTTTCCTCGTTGAATGGGAAAGGCATCAAATGGTGCCATCACTTGAACATCGCGTTGGCAATTGCCTGGCTAGAACAGGGGTCCTCGCCACCGCAACTGCGCTTTGTGGGTCAATTCTTTGTGGAGTGGCAGTGAAATCCTCGTTCAGGGGAATTTCCCATTTCTTCTTTGCAACACTTGCCGCTCATCTAGCTGTTTCTGCTTCTAATTTGACAATCACAGTCATTGTGTTGCTGTATTTTGAAAGGAAGCTTAAGACCATAAATACTCCTTGTGCGGCAGCATGTGAAAGAAGGTTGTCGAACGTTGAAGCTGGCAGCTTTGAACTAAGACACTCACTTTACCATAAAACAAAACTGCAACGGATTCTGAAGACGTTAGCTCGTAAAATAACATCAACTGGCGGCAAAATTATCTCCCTTGGTATCTTCGCCCTACTCATTATTTTGTGTGTTTTGTCTGCATTTCAAACTGGAGAGAGGGCACGTACCATAGACTCATACTACCAGAATGAAAACTTCAAGCAATTCGATAAGGCACGACAAATTTTCTTTAGCAACGAAACTGATGTAAGCATCGTTTTCTCCGAGGACATTGACTACCCGCTAAAAAGTGTGCAAAATCAAGTAGTATCACTGTGTGAAAAACTGCAAGAGGCCCCTTACAGTAAAGGAAGGTCGCTTTGTTGGACGGAAGACTTCCGACAATGGGTTAAACATCAAAACATGAATTGTCGGTACTCAGAATTCTACCGATGCTTTGAGATTTTCCTGAACAATTCCCAAAGTTTGCCGTTTAGACAAGACTTGCTTCTAAAAGATTCTATATCCCTTGTCAAAATATCGGCGTCTCGAATTCATCTCAGAATGACTCTTAAAAACCGATTTCAAGACGATAGAAAATCCCTGAGGAAACTGAGGGGCGATTTACAAGAATATTCTTTCCTGAAAGCTATTCCAGTCTCCGAAAAGTTTTTCGCTGTTGACGACCTCGTCAAGTTAGAAGAAGAAACAATCTCCATAGTCCTCGCAGTTGGCACAGTGGTGGTGTTTACAGTTTCTCTATTTGCGACGTGTCATCTAGGTGTTAGTACAATCCTGACTTTAGCATTCGACGTCCTAGTACTGGAAGCAGCTGCAATTATGAACACGTTTGGAATTTATCTCGATCCTGTGTCTTTCATTTCTCTTTACTTGACGATTATCCTTTCTTTGAATTCTAGTATTGAAGTGGGTTATTCGTACGTACTCTCAGCTAAGAAGGGTATACAAGATCGCATGATCGACGGTCTACGCTCTGTTGGAGTATCCGTGCTAGCAGGCACAATTTCATCCATATTAGCATCTATCTCCTTAGGATTTATATTTCCCAGTCTGTCAGATATTTTCTTTCTACTACTTCCTCTGGTCTTCGCTCTAGGGTCAATCCATGCTCTGATTGTCGTTCCCACGTTCCTTGTATTGTTTGAGGAGTTAGTTCACTATTTTAATTCTAAGGATAGCGAGGAGTTAGTGGAACATTACCTGGAAGCATATGACTCAATGTTACTTGAGGCACGGAATGGTGACATAACAAAGCTCAAGGCTAAACGTCCCCAGATCTCTATCATTGGCATCAGTTGTAGATTCCCCGGCGCCAACTGTAAGGACCTTTTTTGGGTTTTGCTTGAGGAAGGAAAGAGTTCCATCCGTCCGTTTCCCGATAATCGAACACAGGAGCATAAAGCGTTTTTTGAGCTCTACAATCCTAAGCGCTTCGTTAATGGACGCCTTTGTGCCATCAATGGTTCCTACTTGGAAGAAATACAAACTTTTGACAACAGGTTCTTCGGTATCTCCAATCAAGAGGCACGCGCGATGGACCCTCAGCAAAGAATACTCCTTCAAGTAGTCTACGAGGCAATCGAAGATGCAGGAATGCGGCTTGAAGATTTACAAAAGTGTAGAACAGGTGTTTTTGTTGGTGTGATGAACCTTGAGTACGGCGCTCTCACAACAGACCGGTCTAATTACAGCAACATTAATCAGTATTCTTCAACGGGGATAACGGCGTCTATTCTTGCCAACAGAGTGTCATTTTGCCTAAATCTAACAGGACCAAGTATTGCTGTGGATACAGCCTGTTCTTCATCGCTAACTGCCCTTAAACTAGCCTGTGACAATCTCCATCACGATGATTGCGATATAGCCATCGTTTGTGCACCCAATGTCGTCCTTGATCATTCCATGCAGATGGTAACTAGTATGGCCGGACTTCTCGCGCCAGACGGCCGTTGCAAAAGTTTTGATGCTTCTGGGGACGGTTATGGACGCGGGGAGGGCTTCGCAGCGGTTGTGTTAAAGTTGACAAAAGATGCTCTGTGTGACAAAGACGATGTTTATTGCGAGATCGTTGCATGTGGAATGAACAACGATGGTCAAAATGCCGTGCCCATCACTGCTCCAAGTGCCAAGATGCAAGCTGAGTTATCAAGAAGAGTACTTGAGCAGTCAGGAGTGACCGCAGAAGACGTGGATTACTTCGAGGCACATGGGACTGGTACTGCAATTGGTGATGTGGTGGAAGTCAACTCTATAGCAGATACTTACTCTAACCAGGGCGCAACTTCTTCACGAAAATTGAGGATTGGCTCTGTAAAATCTAATCTCAATCACACGGAATCTACTTCTGGACTTGCTGGGCTTATTAAGACCGCTCTGATGATAAGAAACAAGACGTTTGTACCAACTATCAACGTCAAGGTGTTGAATCCCAAACTAAAGCTAGAAGAAAAAGGACTTATATTGCAACAAATTCGAGAGGCTTGGAACACAGAAAATGGCAAGCCGCGAATAGCAGCCGTAAACTCATTCGGCTATGGTGGGTCAAATGTGCATGCCATTCTTCGTGAAGCTACACCGACGCCAAGTTTTGAAGGTCAAAACTATATACGCAAGAACAATGTCCTCACCATTACAGCTCGTTCTCTAGAGGGTCTTAAGAAGATGTCAGAGCTTTACTCCGCGTGGATTAAAAACAAGGCTGATGAAACGGATGAACACTTTGCGCAAGACTTGTGCTATTCCTTAAACGAACGTCGAAGCCAATATCCGCATCGCCTAGCTCTTGCCTTTGGAACCGCTCTCGAAGCATCCAAGTCATTGGAAGCTTTCGCTGTTAACTCCGTTGGTTGGGAAAAGTTGGCTTCTTATGCCGAGGTGACTTCGAGTGTTAGAAAAGTCGTTTTCATGTTTGGGGGTCAAGGGTCACAATGGTATGCCATGGGAAGGCAGTTAATGGAATTTGAAACTGTTTTCAGAGATGCTATTTTAACAGTCAGCAGCTTTCTTAAAGACTTGGGAGAAACATGGTCACTCGAGGACGAATTGATGGCACCAGAAGACGTTTCACGAATAACAGAAAGCTACATTGCCCAGCCAGCCACTTTTGCTGTTCAGTACGCAACTGCACAGCTCCTTAAGTCCTGGAAAGTCCATCCTTCTGCTGTTATTGGTCACAGTTTAGGAGAGTTTGCAGCTGCCTGTGTTGCTGGTATCATTACTGTCAAGGAAGCAGTTCAGCTGGTATTAACTCGCGCCAATCTTCAAGATAGATGCCCGAACAATGGAGGTATGGCTGCCCTGGGAATCTCAGAATTAAAGGCCAGGGAGTTACTTTTTGATCTAAGGTTAAGCGCCACCCTCGACATAGCAGCGGTCAATGATGCAAAAAGTGTCACAGTTGCTGGTGATTCGCAATCCATCGAGGCACTTGGGCAACATCTATCGTTGAATGCAAAAGATGTTTTCTGGCGCGTTCTTGGAACGAATCGTGCATTTCACAGCTCTCACATGGAGCCGATCAAAAAACCATTTCAGGAAGCTATGAAAAGTGTGAAATTTAACCCTCAGTTATCAAAAATTCCGATGTACTCTACGGTTAAAGGTGAAGTTGTCTCGGGTCAGCAATTAAACAGCAATTACTGGTGGCAAAATATACGCTGTCCTGTTCGGTTCTATTCAGCGATGAAACACCTACTACGGGATGGTTACAAACAGATAATTGAGATCAGTACGCAGCCAATTCTTTCCCATTACGTGAAACAGATAGCTCTTCAGGAAGATCTGACGGAAGAAGAAAGGCCTGTTGTCATTGCAACTCTTCCTCGTAAGAGAGTGCCCATCGAGGACCAGCACAGATACTTTATTCAGAACACGGTGTGCAAATTGTATACAATGGGATTTCCTGTTGACTGGACTTCTGTGCAGGGGAGCCAATCAGCGAGGTTCATCCGGCTACCAGAATCTCCATGGGTGGAAAGCAGCTTTTGGTACAGGGAACACCCACCACAAGCGATAGTACACCCAATTGACTCTAAAGAAACCATTAAGAAGCCAACACATCCCTATCTAGCACAAGTCAAAATGACCGACTTATATTCAGGCCTACACTGCTGGGAAACTGAGATTGATCTTTTCAACTTTCCATCCCTGAAGGATCACGCCCTAAGCGAGGGGGGTGCTGTGATGCCTGGAGCTGCTTACTTGGAGATGGCCTTTGCAATGGTAAAGGATAAATTCGTTCATACCTCTGGCCTGGAACTAAGTGATGTGAAGCTTTCAAGTCTTCTCACTCTTCCTGAAACACAGGTAATAATTATGTGTGCAAATTAATTAGAGGCAAGCTAAGGAGCTAAGTCGACTTTATCTGACTTCTTCGTCCTTTGCACTTTAGGTTAGATCCTTACGTCTTCGCCTTTTAAGGACCGAAATAATTGATAACGCTCAGTTCCAGATCACGAGCGTACAGGAAGACCAGTCTGAAATTATGTTAAGTGGTGGAAACATCTCCGTAGATCTCTTGCACACAAGAAGAAACTTCGAGGAAGAAGGTACCAAAACATTTAACGCTTGCAAGATTCTCGATTCGTTATATATCGATTTATCTATCCATTTGTTTAAAAATTTAAAAAATTTATCGCTTAAAATTTGATAAAAAATGTTCAAGTTAATGACGCATTTTTCTTGGAAAAGATGCTGTGACCGTAACAATTCTAAGAGACAATAACTCTTAAATAGAAGTTAAAAAAATACATCTCTCCATCATTTTGATTCTAACAGCCTGCAATCAAGTTGGACCAGCTGTTAATGACCTGATCAGAAGTATGACAGAGATGCCGATTGAACGATTCAGAGAAATAACACAAAAGTACGGCTTTCAGTACGGTGGTGCTTACTCCATCATTAAACAGACCTGGTACCGTGATAACGAGGGGCTTTGCCTGATCGATATCCGTGAATCACTCATGGTTCAATCAGAAATTGAAAATTATGTGGTTCACCCTTCCATTTTAGACGCTTGTCTTCAATCCTGCTTCATTCCTCTTGGATCTTCAGCTATTGACGAGAAGTCTGTTGTACCGGTGGGATTTGAAGGTATCACTTTGAATGACCTTCCAAATACCAATCAACTTTATTGTCACGTTATTGGGGATGTCAAAGAGTTCGGAAAATTCGACGTCACGCTTACCAGTCCATCTGGAAAAATTCTACTGACCATGAGGGAATTCCGTGTTGCAGAATTAAATAGCACACCACGACGATTTCCCTCTGATGACCTTGTCTATGAAGTGCAGTGGATTGAAGATAAGTTACAGACACAAAGAGAAATTTCGCCAAACTTGACCTGTCTTCTTCTAAGGGACAGCTCTCCTTTATCAGACACCTTAATCGGAAAACTTCGCACCGCAAAAGTCAACGTAATCACAGTTGATCCACCCAATGCTCTATCTTTTGACACCAAAACGGAAGACGTAATCAGTTCAGCGTTAACTGGTGTACCCTCAGGCAATTTATCCTTCCTCAAAGTCGTCAACATGTGGCCAGTAGAGACAAATCTCCTACCAAACAAATTTGATGTTATTGAAAAAGCACAAAACCTCGCCTTCAGCAGCTCAGTCTTCTTGATCCAACAGCTCGTAAGCAAGGGAATGCTTGATTCTCGACTGTTACTCGTCTCTGAAAGTACACAGTTCCTAAATACCACAACTGAGTCTCAAGTCAATTCCATTCCTTGGGCGTCTACTATCTGGGGACTTCGACGAACAGCGAAACTCGAAGAATTTGATCTGGGTATCACAACCATTGATCTTGGCAACAAGAATGACATTACTGAGGTGGACTTGTTGCTTTCGGAAATACTTGGCGATAGCATTGAAGAGGAGGTCGCCTTTCGAGATGGAAAGCGGTTCATAAATCATGTTGTGAGATCAAACATATCCATAGAGCAACCCACACCACACAGTAATGAAAGCGACTGGGGTTCTTTGTACTTATCGTCTATCCCCGGTACAAGGAAAGTCTGCCTTCGCCAGAAGAGCTTTTCAAAACCATCGCCCTCCGAGGTCACAATAGAACTGCTTTATTGCTGGACACCTTCGGAATCAATTCTTGATGTATCCAAACCAAATGCCTGTGTTTTCACCGTTGGAGAGGTCACTCACCTATCAGGAGAGACCGCAAATAATCAGATGCAAATAGGAGACGTTGTGTGCGGCGTTACAGCCTCTGGGCGCGTTTCTCGTTCCCTTCCCATACAAGTCACCAACACGTTTGTGAAGCCAGCCATTTTGACACAGGAACAAGCAACATACATCCCTGCCTGCCTAGCCATAGCTTTGCATGCACTAAAACGCACAGCAACAAAGAAAGAAAATATGAGATTACTTATACATCAAGCTCACCGTGGCCCTGGACCTGCAGCAGTTGCCCTTGCGAAAGCAATGGGTCACAAAGTATTTTGCACTGTGTCTGACACTTGTCAATCCGTAACAAAATCTACCCTCCTAGAGCTGGGAGCTGAGAATGTTACAAATCAGAGCCTCGCCAAATTTGAAGATGACTCCAGACACGCCTTTGATGCAGTTTTGTTTTTCTACCCACCCCCTCCGAACGCTCTCCAAAAAAGCAGTCGAAATCTCAAACGCGGAGGAAAAGTTGTTATCTTGGGAGCCGAATTTGATGGAGACGTCGTCTTCCCTGCGAAGAAAAATGTTATGTATGTGAGAGAAAGCATTTCAGACATCCTCCTAACACCACAAACTTATCAACAGCTCAGTATAGAGAGTCTAGAGCTGCTAAAAGGTGGACCACTCCTGGAAAAGCTACAAGAAATCAAATTGGTATCGATGGACATACCGACGGCCATTGAAGCTACAAACGATTTCACTGTAAACAACTCACCATCGAAAACTTCCATGAGAGTATTTCAAAGTATTTCTTTTCTGATTCATTCATTTGCTCCATCTAAAGAATGCAGTGATCGTCAAAAGATCCCCGTTCTTCCACGCGGTCTAGACGAGTGTGGTCTGAAAGAAAACAAAACGTATTTGGTGGCAGGGGGGATCAGAGGATACGGATTTGAAGTGGCGCGTTGGATGGCCGAGAATGGAGCAAAGTCTATTGGACTGATTGGTCGTTCCAAG